CCGCCCGGCCCATGGCAGTACAGGTAAAGCGGCCAAACGCCGAGCTTTGGCGCTCGCATCAGGCAGCAGAAAGGGCAGGACAGCTCCGAAAAAGAGGAATTCTCTGCTGGTGCTTGCAGGGACTGCAGGGGCAGCGGCACCGGCTCCGCGTAGCCCTCCGAAGGCTCCTGCCCACCACCCTGCCATAGATCAGAGCCTCCTGCTGCCGTGTGCTCTGCTCCAGGACAAAAAAGAAAAGCTGCATTTTCCTCTACGTTCTTCACTTCTGGCTTCCCTGCCCTGGTTGCTTCTGCTCTTCAGAGCTCCCTGTGCCTGGGAGTGCACGAGGGCCAGAGCAGAGGAGGAGGAGAGGCAGGGAATCTTCTCCTGGGCCGGCTGCTCTCGCTTGTGCTGTTTGGGGAGAAAAGGGAGGCTATGGAAAGGGCTGAATAGACTGCAGGGCTAATTCTTCTGCCACTGGCAGGGGTGTAAAGCAAAAATAATGCTACTGCAGGCAACGTAATTACACCAGTGTAAAAGGGACTGAGAGGCAGCTGAATTGGTTCCCACTTCTGTTAACATGTGCATGGTATTGACAAAGCTGTTCATGTCATCGAATTTAACTAGGAATCTTTTGTCATCCAGAGTGCATTATGCTGAGATGAGACCAAGGTGACAGGTTCAATAAAATAAACACTCCGATACTATGGTGATGGAGACCATATAAATACCTGGATAGGAAAAAACAACAAGGCTGCACTACAATAGATAAGCAAAATAACCCCTGTGTTGCCTAATACAAAGAAAGAACTAGAAAATGTGAGGGAGATTTCAGCTCTTCCAGAATCCCTGAATCATGCAGGATCCATTATTGCTTTTGTAGATTTAGGAGCTGCATGGATATAAGGGAATAATGGAGCCCCTTTTATTTTTAACTCCTCTGTTACCATTTCCAAGGAGCTCTCTGCATCGAGCTGATTTATCCCCCTGAGGACGACAGGAGCTGAGCGCAGCTATCAAGGACCCTTGGAGGCGATTTGGCTCTGGACAGGGGCCAGCAGGCGCATTTGTATCCATGATGGATGGGCACATCCTCGGACAGAGCAGGGTGCTCCCGCCGGGACGCAGGAGCCCGGGCTCCACGGAGCCCTTCGCCACGGCCAAGTGTCCCAGGTGGTGACACGTGTGAACAGCCAGGCTGCGCCGTGCCAACCTTGGGGTGACAACAGCAGGGTTGCAAAGATGCAAAGGGCGTTTCTTTGGGTGGACAAATCTCTCTAATCCTGGAAGCCGGGGCCTTGGGGAGCCGGAGCGGAAGGTCTCCGTGCGGCTCAAGAACTGCTGCACAGAGAGCTTCCTCCCGCGGGGTGATGCTGATTCCGCATTTTCAGGCTCCTCTGTGCAGCAATTTGATCCGTTATGGGATGGAGACAGCTTTGTGATGGGAAATGGCAACGGGCAGGCTTTGCTTGGTGAGAAACCCGGCTCTGCTTGCGCAGCCGCTCGTACGGGCTGCGCCCGGGCCGACCACGGGCTCCGGAGCGCTGCACGCCCATTCCCGACTCCGCATCCCCGCTGTGCCCACGGGTAACCTCCCGGGTTGCAGTGCAGGGGCTCTTCCAAACAGATGTCCCAAGGACGGGAAGGCTGATCCTCTGGCCGCGCCGCTGGCTGCGTTTGCTGCTACCGGATCGCAGGCAGGGACAGGGAGATCCTCGCGAAAGCCCCGTGCTCGAGTAGCCAGACGAGAGGCACAAACTGCGCACGCGGCCCCGCACCACGCTCGAGTTTGTGAAACAGTGGGTGTGCAAAATCTGTTCTGCACCTTCTGACATGTGCAGATCTCACTGGAACAGCCCGAGCCTGGCACACGGCTAGTGCAAAGCCCCTGTTTGGGAGGTGGAGTCCGTCCTTCCGCAACACAGAAACATGTTGGGCTGGAGGTCTGGAATTGCTGCATTTTGCTGCAGTCTCTCTTTGCAGCGCTCTCCCTCTCTGTTTCTCTCCCTCTCTCTCCCAGGCACATCCAGTCTCGCCCCTTTTTTTCCTTCCCTTTCTCTCATTGCTCCTGTCTCAAAAGTCAGCTTCCTTCCTGGCTGTCTGCATGTACATCCAGTGAGAATGAAAAGTGTGTTCTTTGTACCAGTAGGTCTCTGTGATGCTATAGGGACATGGATCCTTTCATTACAAATAATTAATTTAGTTATCTATTGCATAACATCCTAAAAAGCTTTCTAGGGCAGTCTCACACTAGCTGGATGCAAGCTCCTATCAATATTACATTACATTTGGGTACAACAGTTATGAAGTTTCATTAAAAATTTAATTTGTGGTTTAAAACTGCAGCATTCCCTTAAAAGTGTAGCAGAGGAGGCACAGGGGCTGCCCGAGGACGGATCCTCCGTTTGCCCAGATTGCAGGGGGAGCTGCAGCCGGGGGCTCCGACACGGCGCCGCTCCCTGCTCCAGAGGCCAGTGGGTTGCACGGGGTGGGGAGCTGTCCCTGTTCTTGTCCTGGTTGGTTCCTACTAATTCCAAGATGCTTTTTTGGCTATGGAGCATTAAGCAGCGTGTCTCTGGTTTGCAACCATGAACGAGCACCAGAAGTCTCTGTGGGTCCCATTCCCCGTGTCCCCTCCATCCCCGTGGGCGACGCAGCCGCGCAGGGAGAGAAGGAGCCGGCATAGCCTGGGAATCACAGCCTGGGAATCACAGCAATGGGAACTGGCCTGTGCTGGCTGCCCGGGAATTGGCTCCCGAGCCCCAAATCCCAAAGGAGAGGATGCTAATGCCGCGGCAGAGATCAAGGCAGCGCCCTCCTCTCGCTTACGCTGCTGCAAATTAAGCGCCTCTTTCCCGTCAGCGGAGCCGTCCTGCAGCGGGAAGCAGGAGGAGGCAGGATGAACAGGGCCTCGGATCATGTTTTGTTAATGAAGTTTTGTTGTGACTCTTAAGCAGATGATGTGAATGGAGGCAGGTTTAAAACATCCCACATCCGCCTCTCGCTTCCAGAATTGATTTGTACAGTAATTTCCATCCTTATCTGCACGTGTACCGGGAGAACCGACAGCTTTGCCGTTTGGAGCATCCCTTGGGGAACTTCCTGGCTCTCCGGGGGTCTCCACTGCAGGATAAGGTGGGCTGGGGGCAGCTCACATGTGACAAACTACCACATATTTATATATATATATGTGTGTATGTGTGTGTATATATATAGTTCTGACAAAGGAGGGGAAGTCCCTTTGCAGCTGCAGGTGGGTGCTCAGAAGTCAGCAGGGTCCTGGCGCCTGCCACACGTCTCTGCCAAAGATCCCTCCCTCCTGGAGAGGCATCTCGGGGGCTCCTAGATCCCTTCAGCTTCTCTGGTAGCGCTGGTGTCCGTCCGGGATCCCACCGGCACTTCCCTGGGGAAGCCTCCCACGCTCCCGTCGCTCCAGGCCTCTCCCTGTCTTGTTGTGTCGTGAAGGCAGTGAGGATGAGAGGGAAACATCAAAAGCCGGTGACACTGCTGGTGCCCTAGTTTTTTTCCTGTGATTGTTTCTCATTTGCACAGTCTCTCGCTCCTTCTCCCCCTGCTCCGACGGCAGGAGGCTGGAACTGGCCCTGGTGTCACGGGATGGGGCTGGGATGC